CTCTGACCCTGGTCAGAGGAGTACACCACACCACTCCTGACCATCGCGTTGAGGCACCATGCACCCTATATATTTTTGTACAAATGCGATCTAAAAACATATGAATCCCAAAACAAAAGAACCAGAAATTACAAGACTGAGATCTCATAACTCGTTGAATTTCTGCATTCTTAATCATAAGAAATGTGCGAACAACTAGAGTTTTTCAATTTGTTGTTGGTAGCTTACCAAGCTGGCCGCTTGGTCATGACATTAGAATTGCGCATATTTTTATTTGTGGAACTATGCAATGTGTAACTGGTACATGAAAGATCTAGAAACCAGAAAACAAAACAAAACAAATTATCCGAGCTAGCCTTGCCCTCGCCGCCGGTCGACATCGCCCAAGGCCGCCCCGTCCCTCCCCGCTCGCTGGTCGCTTATGAGCTGCTCTCCCTCCCCATCTCTCTGTCTCCTCTGTTCTCCTCTTCTCTTTTACTCAAGTGATGCGTATGAAGGCTTGGATGGCTAATTGTGGACGGATGTTTACGTATGCAAATGGGCTAACAGTGAATGGACGTATTTGGATTGATGTGCTAATAGTGAATGCATGTAGTTTCTTAGTGTGCTAACAGTGGGCAGTTTTGATGACAATGGTGAAATTTTGCTCTCTGTAGTTGTTATTGTTGCTACTGTCAATGCAATTTGGGATAGTGATACTGGCTTTAGTAGATTATAATTTTGACATGAACATTTTAGATAGAGAAAGTCAAGGGGCCCAGAGCAAATTTAATTTTGACATGAATAATGTAGATGCAGAAACTCAAGGGCATTGCAGTTTCAGTCTAAGGGCAACTATTTTTCCGAGCAAATGAATCATATGATGATGATCAATGGACCATCATCCCTTTAATCAATTAATCAGTCTGTTGGATAGTAAGCAGTAGCACAGTACAGACTTCATTTCTGTGTTGAGTTGACCTGTCTCCAGCCGGCCGCTAACCAGCTAATTAATTTTCATTTGCACCTAAATAAACAGCTCGTCTGGCCACACCCGTCCCTCCGTCTTTTGTGTGTAGCCTAGAGACGACTTGGAAGAGGATTTCGCACCTACTATCTCTGTATGCCTTCGCCGCCGTCGTCGTCGTCGGACGATCCTCATCCGCCAACTTATTTCAGGCCAATGCCTCCCTCCGGTTGCTACTGTTCCGGCCGAAGGGTCTAGGTACGCGCCGCTGCCGCCTTCTTAGCCGCTAGTAAGTCGTCGGCATGCCAAACGGCACGGCGCCCACCTTCCTGTGGGCGCCCGTGGCACCGGCCGATGCCGCGGCGGCGGCGACGATGCCGTTGAGCGACCGCGTGTATATGTCGGTGGTCTCCACTGCCAGTCTGTCCAGCGGGCCGTTCTTCTGCCCCGTCGGTAGGTGTCGATAGGGGGGTGCTCTCATGGCCGGAGCAGCAGCAGCAGCATTAGGCGCCGTGCCTTTGGTGTACCCACCACAGGCATAGCCCCCCATGGCCTGTGGTATCCCAGCACCAGCACCAGCACCAGGAGGTGCTTGATGCTGATATTGCCCATACATTTGTGGGATCTGCTGCTGAGGAGGGCATCCTGGGCTAATCGTCGGCCTGCTTGCCGCGTCATAAGGTAACGCTGAACCGGCAGCTCTCCGCGAAATCACTGCATAATAAGAAATAGTCTTAGAAATGGGAGACATTATGCTTCAAGTAAATGACAACAAAACATGTATAAAAAAATGGACGAGGGCGTACCTGCTTGTGCCGCGTGTGAAGCCTGAGAAGCACCGTGACCATTCCCAGCATACCTCCCTGTCTCCGAGGAAGTTTTGTTGCAAGGCTTGCCAAAGAGCGGCCGAGTGTCCTTCGCGGGAATTGGAGTCGAGTGAACAATAGTGGACCTGCAAAAACAAAGATGCTTATCAGCAATAACACAGGCTTACCTTACTAATATTAAAACATATAGTGATGAAAGGCATACAGGTGTGCTAACTGAGTGGCAAAAAAGCAACCAAATTATTAAGTGGGTCTCGAGTATCAACATTCTGAACACATACTGATTAAGCCATCACTTAGATTTCAAACAGAACCTCGACTAACAAAGTGATGATAAAGTATCGCACAGGACCTAACAATCTGATCTGATAACCTACATATATCAATTGTAACCCCAACTCTGATGAGAAAACCGGGTATTAAGTTCCCAGTCACTTCACTCTCAAGTTTAAAATAGATTACAGTAGTAGATCTTTGAACTCCTGTGATCACGTAGATCCCAGTCACTTCACTCTCAAGTTTATATAGCCCAGTTCACTATCCAGATAAAATCAAATCTAACCAAATTCATAACATGATAATTATCCCATTATTTGAAACTCAATCCATCTTAATATGAAGCAAAGGAGCAGTGCACTTCAAAGTGAGCCATTAGCATTATGTGCCAGTGATATGGAAGGAAAAGAAATGAACAAAAGAAAAGAGTACGATGCAACATTACCTAGGAAGAGATGCATGTTTTCTATCTGCTGGGACTACAGGGCCGCTGCCATCGCTTTCTTCAAGATGAGAGAACTGCTTCTTGAAATGATCGACAGCACTGACAAACATAACCGCGGAATATTGCTGTCAGTAAGAGTTGACACAATGAACAGAAATGACGGAATAGAAACATAGAAAAACTAAAACCTTGGGTAGAGAAAGGTTGTCCTCTCTGTGCCATCAGTGTAGCTCTTCAGCAATTGCGGATGATATTCCAATATCTCCTGGAATATCAGCTCCCTTATATCATCCTTTGACACTCTGCTGTGCTCAAAGTCAAACTCCATTTTTCTGATTGGCTGACAGGATGGTTCTCTCTCTGGCTTGGAAAGGCCTCTAAAGTATGGATCAGTCAATGCCTAACAAAATACAAACATTGAAGGAAACATTACAACTTACTCCATATAAATATATAACAAACTAATGCTGCAAACAGAGAGAAGAAACCAAGGCATCAGAAAGACAAAATAGCACCATAAGACTACCTCTTCCGCAGTTGGACGGTCTTTTGGATCAAAGGCTAATAGCTTCTCCAAGAGTTTAACTCCCAAAGGATCTGCATTAGGAAACTTCTGAGAAAATGGGACCGGGTCTTTCTTTCTCATACTGCTCAAGTACCTTCTTGCTTTCTCATTTCGGACCTAGGAAAAAACAAAAATAATAGAGTCAAACGTTGGGCTCGCTGATTACGCTTACCAGATCAACTAAATATATATTCTTCCCCTGAATTTAGTAGCGTACCCGAGAAATTGTATCCATTGAAGGTGTCCCTAGGAGATCAGTCATTAAGTCTAACTGATGGACAACATTTTTACCAGGAAACAAAGGCTTTCCTGTCAGCACCTCAGCGAAAATGCACCCAATGCTCCAAATGTCAATGGCAGGTGTATACTGCATTTTGGGGTGAAACAAAAATCCAAAATAGATTAAGAACATGCATGTGATCAAAATCCTGGAAATTACGGAAGATGCTTTTACTGTTCTTGGAAGTAAGAGAAATTCACATGTAGTCAAAGTTACTATTCAAGAGGAAAGTGATCAAGTATTCGTGTAGAACATAGGATGAACAAATGTTAAGATCAATTCATGAATGAAATTAGGCCATAAAATACAAAAGGATAGAAATGACAGTGAACAGATCTAATCTATACTATAGATGGAGAAACCATAACTATAAAACATAGGATGAACAGGTACATAGTGCATTTTAATTTTCACCATAAACATTTGCCTGTTACAGCTCACAGTTCAATCAACTCATGCTAGAACAATTGTAAGCATCTTCTTTGTTACACTATAAGCCTGTCAACAGATTAAGAACCTAGTTCTTTTCTTCATTTTTTAATAAGCACAAAGCCATGAACTCTAAACCTCACCTTTGTGAAGAAGGATCCGCAGAGCTCTGGAGCTCTATACCATCTTGTCGCGACATAATCCTGCAGGGATTATGCATAATATCTATAAATTATGATACTTCATCAAAAATCTGCTATAAAAAACATAAATTGAGTTTGTACTAACATACCGTCCAGAAGACAGTTGTTGGGGTATCGTTGAATGCAACTCGTGCTAGTCCAAAATCACATATCTTCAGTTTGCAGTTAGAATTTGCCAAAATATTCTTGGGCTTCAGGTCACGATGGTAAACACTAGCTGCAGTCATATGAACTCCTTATCAGCAAAAAAAAAGTGGTAATAAAAATAGAATACGCAATCAAGTAACGTTTTCTACAGTGTATCACTGAAAAACATTGGGGTGCAATTTCTGGTAGTGTCAATTCAACACCATGACAAGCTTTTTGATGGCAAGTAAGTGGAAAAGATTTCCAACGAGCAATCAAATTACAGAGTCTTGGCTAGAGCGCCTACAATATAAAAGGGATAAATAATGAACAAAACACCAAAAATAATTCATTTGAAGAGGTGAACAAAGGTTGCATCAGATAATGGTCTGGTACTTATCTTGACTGCTACTCCCTCCGTTTCATAATTATTGTCATTGTTTTAGCTACGGGATGATCTACGGCCTCAAAGGGAAAAAAAACAATTCAAGAAATTCAGAGAATGCAGGCTAATATATGAATGGATTTAATATGGTCATATTTTAAAAATGCTGATAAAGGATGATACATATCTTAATAATAGTGAAGTAGTAATGTGTAGCACAAAGCAAACGGAGAAAGATGCAACTGAAGGTTGAGAGATGATAATACACAGGATTTAATATCAAATGATAAACCCTGTTGTTAACTTGGTTGACTACACGCGAAGCAAGTCACACTTTGGCACTTAAAGAATCAACTGTTACTGAGGATCTGTTGACTAAACCGCAGTGTATATTATCTAGTTCTGCACACTGAGGAAACCATAACTGACCCATCATTGGACTTTTTAATATTGAAGAGCAAGCCTCTGGGGGGGAGTGTTTGATAGGCAAGTGAAAAAGAGATGAAAAGAGGATCTGACCTACTACACATGATTGTAAACTAAAACACACACCACCTTCAGGGTAAAACATTGTTTTCTAAGCAACAACAGTAGACTTGAAGGTAACGATTTCTCACCAGTATGAATGTATTTGAGGGCTCGGAGTAGCTGGTAGAGAAAGAACTGGTAGTGCTCTTTCGTCAAGTCATCGTTGGCCTTAATAACTTGGTGGAGATCAGACTCCATGAGCTCAAAAACAACGTAGATGTCCTTGAAGTCCTTTCTGGAGGGAGGCAGCATAATGTGCTTGATCTCGACGACGTCGGGATGCCGTAGGAGCCTCAGAAGCTTGATCTCACGGAGGATCCGCGCGGCGTCGGAGGTATGCTCGAAGATATTGTGTATCTTCTTGATGGCCACTTTCTGCCTGGTCTGCAGATCAAGGGCGGAGCACACAACCCCGTAGCTCCCCTTGCCGATGACCTCCTGGATCTTGTACCGGTTGGCGTCGCCGTACTCAGTGAAGAAGTCCGCCTCCGCCGAACCCTGCAAAACATGGATTGCACACACTGAATGAATCAGCAAGCGCTCAACACCCAGCTGCTAAAACAGAGAGAACTTTAAACGGTTGATCCGGGGAGCTGAGACGGCACAATGATTGCTGTGGTGGGGGTTGGAGGAATCATTGGAGACCGACAGGGATTTGGAGTGGCCACATTGCAACGGAACCAGCCATTGAGAAAAGCCACAGCACCGGCAAGCAATCAAACAGTTTAAAACTTTTTGTGCCACTGAACGCCGGTTGCTTGCTGTTGCTGGCGGGCATCTGCGAGGACTCCAACAAGGATTAAAATGTAGTACAAGCTTTGCGCGCCACCGACGGGCAGGCAGGGGAAAAGGGGCATCTTGCGGACTTCGTCTAGCGTTTGGCATCTGGATTCAGGAAGCGGCGAGGAGGCGGTCAACTTTGCCATGTGAGGCGCGGGCTGTCTGCAGCTCATCACGCGGTGCTGCCGTATTGGATTGGAACCGACGGCATTTGACTGCTAACTTTTACTGACGGAAACAGCAGATCAGAGATTTCGGCGGCAGGAAGGGTTGCCGGCGCCGAAAAAGCAACAAAAGTAGCCAAGAATCTGTCAAAGAGGTTTGAATGAATTTGAAAACAGGGCAGGGCAGCGAGGATTCAGAAAACGCTGGGTCGCCGGCTTCGTCCTGGATGGAACCGAGACGGGCAGCGGGCATCGACGCCGCAAGAAGAGGCGCAAATCATCTTGCTCATACTAGACGCATGAGGAGGAGGGGGGAGGGGGAGGGACGGCTCGGAAGTCGGAACCCACCTTGCTCCGCTGCGCCTGCTGCATTGCCGCTTGCCGGGCGGGCCGATCTGCGCTCCAAGGCCGCTCCGGAGACCGGAAACCGGACCCCTGCCCTCCCGCGGCGCCGGACCGCCCGCCTCCCGGTCGGCCGAGCCGCCCGCCAAACTGACGCGCCGCGGCGGCCGATGCCGGGCCCAAGGTGCCGGCGGGGAGCGAGGGATGGGTGCCGGACGGACTCTTCTGGCCCGATCTGGCGGCGCGCCGGAGACGGGAAGGGAGGGGAGCGGGATGCCGGAGTCGGGGAGGGGAGGGGGGAGGTAGATTTCTTTCTCTTCTTTGTGAATGTCTGCCGACTTGCCGTTGTTGTTTGTTGGTTTTAATCGGGAGAGAGAGGGAGAGGAGATGCGTTGCGTCTGGGCCACATGCCATGGGCTGCGGCCTGCGGCTGCCGGTGCGGTGCGGTGCTCGTTGGACTCCTCTGCGCCGTCCGATCCGCATCTCTGCTTTATCCACCGCTCATCTACCGGTGGTCTGAGTTTTAAATCAACCGAGGGGATAAAACTTTACATAATAATATTATTAGCAAGTTATAAGAATAGAAGACTAGTGAAAGGTATCACAGGAGTTTCACCAACCAGAGGGCTATATGGAAAACATAGAATCAGTTACGGTCGTTTAGCGGGGGTTGCATTGTCCGTCGTATCGTTATGTGCACTCTGTTACACTCTGTTGTAATGCTGCAGATTTACGAGACATTCTATTAGATTCTCTATTCATAACAAAGATTGGAACCTTGGAAATAAATGCCTAAAGCCTTGCAATGGTTGGAGCTTCGCGTTGGCAATCGTGAATAACAATAGCATTGGATATCTATCTGCTTGGCTCTTGGCGATATCGAAGCCCCGCTTCTACCTCCTTAGGGGGTCCAACATTTTTTCCGATCAGTGGTATAGCACTTCACAGTTCAATTGCTCTCTCGAGCAGCGACAGAGCCAGTGGTGGGTGGGTCGGGGCCATGGCTCCCCCCATATAAATTGCTTTCCTAGAAAGAACTCTATATTGTTCGCACAAAATGGTATAAATCTACATGCTTGGCTCCCTTCAACCTTTTACCTCTTCTACTATAGGCCCCCTTGCAAAAGATTCCTGGCCCATGCGTGCTCTTGGGGCATACATAATCTAGGTCGCATAGCGATCTTCGAGTATAAGGAAAATCATACATGCATGTGCTCATCACCGCGAGCACGCACCCTCTGATCACACACGCTTCATACAACAAATGTGAGGGGGTAAATACGCAGATCTTGACGAGCCTACCTTGTGTCCACGCCTTGTCATCTCGTCCATCCTTCCCCTAAATCGGCCGGTTGGCATTTGTCAGTTCCATTCGTCATACACTTTGAATGACTAAGTCACCGTTCGATGTTGCATGTACATGTACCACCCGGTTGTTGCTTCAGCGACTTCCAAACTCCAGAGAGAACTCGGGAGGTCCCCCATGGCGCTAGTGAAGCAGCCGATGGCCTAGCTAGATCATGCAGCTCGACGCACGAGTAGCGTAACACGATGCAGTACCCCTCCTGCATGACGAAGCCTAGGGATGCAAATTTGGAACCTTCAGGGGTAACCCTCTGGCCTCCTTAGGTTTTTTTTTCCAGGAAACTTTCGATCTATTCATCTTCAATCATGGCAGCACAGCGAACACCAGAAATAAAAAAACTTACATCTAGATTCGTAGACCACCTAGCGACGGTTGCAAGATAACCCTCTGACCACCTTAGTTCAATTTAGATGAACTAAACATTCAATTTGGGCCGGAAATTCTGAAAACCTGGTTCATTCAGTTGAATCGAGGAGGGGTCGAGGGTACTACCCTACGGGTTTCAAATTTGTATATGCTAAAAAAAAGGCCTGCCCGCGTGTGATAGTAATGATTGTAGTGGAATGTTTTACATTATTAGTTAACATACATCATTTTTCAAAAAAGGAACAAGAAAATGAGCAAGCCAGAGTTGCTGAAGTAGGTTTGGGGTAGGTCTCATGTGACGGGCGCTCGCTCACCATCTTTCTCTCTCTCTCTCTCTCGTCGGTGCAGTTGCAGAAATTAGGTGGCGGGCGGGCGTCCGTGACGGAATTGAAACGCCAGCTAAAATAACCCGTCCGTGCCTTGAAAGGCACACACACAACACACATGCGGCTTTGACTTAACCTTCACGATCCGATCAGACGGTACGTACCATCTGCCTTCCTTCCTTCCTTCCGTAGTGTGTAACGTGTAAATAAAAGAACACCATCACGTTCATCTGCCTGCACCGTCACGTGGAGGAGATGAATGAATCCATCTACTGATAATAATTCTACTACCCAACCCAGCCCAGTCCCTCCTCCCCAATGATTCTCCAACATTGTACGTACAATATGACAGCTCCACGCGTTAGGAGAATCTAAATGAATGGATAGCAGCAGTAGTTGCATCAATTTTACCTCCTCATGCCATTATCCATGTACATCACAACGATGGAGGGTCGCTTCAATGGTTGTAGTCGTCGCTACGTGCCTTATGGATATGAATGTTTTTTTTTATTTGTCGTACTGCCACAATTCGAGATGAATAGATCAAAAGTTTTTTTTAGAAAAAAAACAAAGTGTTTTGATCGCGGTGCGGCTAGATGGAAGTAGTAAAGCGACGGCGAGCGGCGTTTGCATCTCCGTCGATCTCGTCATTAAGAACCGGCCGTTTAGACGGATCGACCTCGCCGTCCGTCCGTCCGTCCGTCCGTCGTCGGCGACTCGTACCGGTGGTTAATCAACCGATTAATTAACTGGTTAATTGGGCGCCACCGACGGAGAAGCAATGAGAAGGAGTAGTAGTAATAGAATACGCCTACTTGGAACGGGAGTATCCTATCCTAACATTCACGAGTATTTTTCCTTTGTCTTGCTTTGTTTTGTGAGGCAAAAAAAGTGAGCATCACTGGCCACTTGTTGCTGTATTTTATTTTGTAATATAAAAATAAAAATAAAAGAGCATTTAATTATTGGAAGAAGCGGAAAGGAAGGAGAAGGTGCGGCCACCGACGATAACGTGCGCCATGTCCGTTCGTTTACGCTCAGCTGGATCCATCCGACCCAACCGCCCGTCCGTCCGGCATCTACCACTACTTCACTTCTGAACCACACGAGTGTAAAGAGATAATAAAAAGTTGCCTTTCGGGCAAAGACAAATTGGAAGAAAGAAGTTTTCCTTTTGATTTTTATTTAAGAACTATACTTCAATTTTTCAGTCTAGTTGCATGGTCATCATATAGAATTTGTTTTCTTCTTCATCATCCTCTTTTCCGTGGAAAACGATGTTCTACAAACCCTCGGCCTCTGTATCGAGCGGTCAGAAATGCACTACGTATGTAAACTCTCAGCAGAAAAATATGAACACCGGACATGTTAGCGGTCCATAAATAGCGCACACTAGGTCCCTCGCAAAAAAAAAAGGTTTCACGGCTCATGTTAACTCATGTTCATACTCGATGTAAAGAGATAAAGATTTGCCTTTCGGGCAACCAAATATTGAAGCAAGAAAAATTCCTTTTAATTTTTATTTAAGAAATATACTTGAGTATTTCAATCTGGTTGCAAATTGCGAGGTCATCATATAGAATTCGTTTCTTCTTCTTCATTGTCACCTTTTCCGTGGAAAACGATGTTCATACAAACCCTCGGCCTCTCCATCGAGCGATCAGAAATGCATTAGGTATGTAAATTCTCATCAGATGATTTCAAAGCAGAAAAATACGAACACACGTCTCAGCGGTCCAGAATAGCGCACGCTAGGTTTTACAGGGCATGTTAACTCATGTTCATACTTCCGACTGTAAATAAACGGAATTACATGTTTTTCCTTTTCACCGGAAGAAAAAGAATAACTACTGCTATCTTATGTTATACTACTAATTAAAAGAACAGCTCCATCTTTCGCATATACAGTGGATATATTTACCTTGCACTTACACGATATGCAAAAAAATAGACGGCGTTTTTGGTGACCTTGTCGCACCGACCATCTCCGAGAAATCGACATGATACTGGCAAGCAGGGTTTCAGTACAAGCTAACCCGGGCCCACCTGCAGGCGCACCTCATCTTCAGACAGGCCAGCTGAATGATCCGTCCATCCTCTAGTCGATCCTCTCAAGGTTGTACTTCACCATGTTCTCAAGGGCGGTCCTGAAATGGCTCCTGGGGAGGCACTGCAGGTTCTGCAGCGCCAGGTCGCCCTTCTCCTTGGCCAGCTCCTGCGCCCGCCGTATCCCGCCGCTTTTATGTACCAGCTCCATGGCAGCCGACAGCGAGCCCGTGTCGCAGAACTCCGAGTCGATGATCTCCCTCAGCTCCGGCGACTCCTGCAGCGCGAAGATGACCGGGGCCGTCAGGTTCCCCTTGGCCAGGTCGCTCCCCGCCGGCTTGCCCAGCTGCTCCGCCGACTGCGTGAAGTCGAGGATGTCGTCCACCACCTGGAACGACAGCCCCAGGTTCCTGCCGTACTCGTACATCTGCTCGCATACTGCGGTGCTCACCCCGCTGAATATGGCCGCGGACCTCGTGCTTGAAGCGAGCAGGGAGGCCGTCTTGTAGTAGCTCTTGAGCAGGTAGTCGTCCAGGGTGACGTCGCAGTCGAACAGGGTCGATTGCTGCTTTATCTCCCCACTAGCAAAGTCCTTGATCACCTATGAGCACACCAATGGTTAATAGAAGTCGTATATACGATTTTACAGAAGAGGATGAGGTTTACTGAATCCTTCAGTACCTGGCTGATGAGCTTTATAACCTCAATGTTCTCTAGGTTTGCGAGAAACCAAGAAGATTGTGCAAACATAAAATCGCCAGCAAGCACCGCTATCCGTGTTCCGTACAGCTGATGGATGGTTTCTTTCCCTGTGAATAACATTGATCTGGTTTAGAACAAAAATTCCAATTTATCGATCCCCTAATTAAACCATTCCAATATGATGAATGAATAAGGAAGAAAAGGAAGGATTATTTTTATGTACCTCTGCGCATTCCACTATCATCTATGACATCATCATGTATTAAACTCGCAGTGTGAATCATTTCTATGATCTCTGCCAAGCGTTTATGTTCTGTAGTTAGCTCCCTGCAATGCAAAAGTGTAAAGGTCTGAGTGCATAGTTCTTATAAACAAAGATTATTAGAAACGGTAAGGCTTCAACAAAGAAGAGGAACTTACGACAAGCCAGCTACTTCCGCTGTTGCTCTGGACACCAGAAAAACCAATGCTGGTCTTAATCTCTTTCCACCAGCACCAAAAATTTGTTCTGCGGCAGATACTAAAACTGGATTTTCTGCACCAATAAGCTATTGAGGTTGTGTCAGCTACTTAGTAGTTATTGTGGAAAACAGGAGCTAGTCTACAAAAACCGTATGTCAAAAACTAGTGCAGAAATGCATATTTATCTTTTGATATGTGCTCTGAAGTTTATTTTCTTGATCTAGCAAACAGAGATTGCCTATTCACAAAAAGGCCAGCTACTCACAGCTCCAAGTCATCAAATACTGGCCATTACATAATTAGAATCTGGACGGTTTGAAAGGCGTGCACAAGTAGGAAGCTGTCTCTGTCTTTAGTCATGTCTATAGGCTGTAGTCAAGTGGATTATGTGCAATCCCCTTCTAAAGAACAGTTAAACCGTTGCACCACGCTTGCGCACAGCAAACTATGACGTCTTATTTTTCTTTTAGGCCCAACAGTATATGTCCCTTTTAATTTTATGAACTTGGAATAATTCGTGAAATCATAGTAGCTACTGCATGATTTTCAATCCATTGATGTAATGTGCGTCAATGTCTCTATTTGTGTGTGTG